TTCTAAGTGTGTGAATCAGATTTGTATTGATTTAATCATGAAAGCCAAGACCAAACTCACTGACCTATTTAACAGAGAGAACAAAGGTTACTCTTGTGTGGTTACAGCCAGAAGTTATTTACACATGGAATAAATTATGACCTTTATTTTGATTGCCATACAAAAATATTAAATACTCACAAAGTGCTAAGAGGCTTAACTTTCTGGGGTCTCATTCTACATGCAGAGTTTACTGCTTTAGGGAAGTTGGTTGAATTCCCAAATTCCCAAGGCAAGCAACTGGGTTTACTTTGAAGGTCAATAAATGTATAGACCTGGTAATTTCAGATACAAGATTCTGTCCTTCTAAGAGGTTTTTCTTATGAAATATTGGGAGGAGCATTGGGGACATTATAGTGCAGTGGTGGGCAACCTGCGACCCATCAGGGTAATCTGATTGCGGGCTGCAAGACATTTTGCTGATGTTGACCGTCCACAGGGACAGCCCCCCTCAGCTCCCATTGGCTGGGAACGGCAAACTACGGCCACTGGGAGCTGCAGGGGGCCATCCCTGCCAATGGTTAACATCAGCCAAAATGTCTCGCGGCCTGCAGATTACCCTGATGGGCCATGTGCGGCCTGCGAGCCATAGTTTTCCCACCACTGTTATATTTTCTTTCCATCATTGAGGTTTCAAAATAATAGTCTCCAGGTAGTAGCATACTTTATTAAGTCAAATTTTGTAAGGCGTTTTTGTGGCAAGTTTTGTTATGTCAAAAGACAGTGTATGGAACCATGAATTCCTCTCCACCTGACAAAAACCCACAGGAGGCCTGTGATTCATTCTTAGGCCTCAGCCCAAAGGAAATACAAGTAACATGCTTGTATGGGACTGTATCTCCTGTGGTGGTGTTTTACCACAAGGAGAGTCTTTCCTTCCCACTTGTGGATGCCTCTGACTTGTTTGTAAATGTAACCCTTCTGCCAGGTGAAGCCAGCAGCAATAAGGGCCGGGTTCAGTATCTAGGGGTTCCTTTTCAACAATACAACAGAAAACCGGTTTGAGCCCCCACCCAGTGTCCTGGGACAATTACACACCACCCCCGGGTGCCTCTAAGAGGCAATACTTCTCCTCTTGAAAGCACAGAGTCTGAGTGTAGCAAAAACATTTAATAAAAGGAGGGAAGTAACTCAGCATTAATTTGGGAAAACACCACAACTACGATTCATAAATACAAACCATGAGCAAAAGAGCCACCCCCAAGTAAGTTGGGCAGTGTCCTTTTCCCCTCAGGTTCTTAAGTGGAGCAACACCTTTAGCGTGCCTGTCCCTTCTCTGCACCCCACTCACAGTTGCTGTCCTTGGCCAGTGCAGCCCCAAAGTCCAGAGGTTCATCTGCAGAGTTCACCTCCCACCTTGGGTTGAAGTGGGGGTAACAAGGCACCTTACACTCTCCACTGCTCAGGCACTCGCTCGTCGCCCCGCTGGCCAATTGCTGCACCTCCGTGCTGGGCTCCAGTCTGGCCCTCTCTGCCAGCCACCCTGCTGGCCGCTTGTCACACCTCTCCACCAACCATCCAGCTGGCCACTTGCTAAGGTGTCTTCAGGGTCCACCACTTAACACAGCTCTCAGTGATTTCAGGAGCCTCACTGTTGGTGCACACTGGGCAGCCTCTTGAAATAGAAACACTGTCCCAAAGTAGGTCTAATAGGTATCAGTGATTTCAGCTCTGCAGTGTGTAAAAAGACTCTCAATTAAGTCTAAATTAGCTATTCTATTATACCATTGAGGGCAGGTCAAATGGTGTCTAGGATGCTTAAACAGAGCCCATACCAGCAGGTACAAGTCCCCACCCTCTCTCACTCATTGGGCTTTGGAACCCATGTCCCCTGCCTAGTGTGTGCTGTTCAGTTGAGGGTGAATCCCTCCATTGGGGTATGCCAGGTACAGTTCTGCTGCCCTCGGTTCACACAGCAAAGATAATAACCCTTTATTACTCCTGCCCCAATAACAAGGAGACTGGGGATCCAACACCAGCCACAAGGGATCATTTGGACAAACAATCCCATCATGCTGAGCACCGAGACAGGGTGGGTGCAGGGATCAGCTCCTGAAGTTCTTTTCCACAGCTCACCACTAGATGTCAGGGAAGAGCTCATTCAGACTCTTACATAGGGTAGGGTAGTGTCCTGTGGTATCCTTCCAGCCGGTGACCTGTTTGAAACAGAGTAGCTCTATAGCTCTCCGCTTCCACTGCTTTTGCCTGTAACCATATGCCTTGTAACAAGGACAGTGCCGTAACAAAGAGCTTGAAGCGCAGGAAAATATAGATATCTCCTAATATGAGCATGAGAACCATGTTCATTGCTTCCTGGGCCCCTTCCTTGAAAGGAGTCATTACCACCCTGACTCATCATGATACCATTCACGGTATCTCTGACTACTCTAAAAGGTATCATTAAAGGAAAGTTTGTACATTCTGACATACTGACTCACTGATGCTATAGTATGTACTTGCCTATGGGAGTGATATCATGGAGCACAGTAATTCAGCATAGCAGAGGAATGTGATATTTTCATTGGGTACCTCTATGTGATTGAGCTATAGCTCAGCTCTGATAGTACGATTGGTGAGAAGATTCAGTTTTACCTTACTGTAGCAAAGCAAACTCAATATGATGATTAAAGTAACCAAAAGGCTTAATGAGAACGAAACTTCCATAATCTGTTTGAAAGGTGAGCCTGAGAATTTTAAAGGAGCCCATGGGAGTTAAATTTTGGGATTTGGGTGCCTATTTCCCTTAGGTGCCTTGGAAAAGTCAACCATTAAAGTTTACACAGAGGAATTTTGAATGAAAAAAGGAAAAAGAGAATGGATTTTCCAAGGGAATTAAAAGTAAATTTGTGGATTTCACCTGTGCGATAGGAACAATTTTCATACATGGTTATGAGAATCACCTTGATTTAAGCTATGAAGCAAGGAGTTTGAATCTTACTTATAAATAGTACTATTTTTAATATTACAATATATACACTGGAGAGACACTCAGCTTCTGTAAGTTGTCACGGCTCCATTGAAGTTGCTAACTTACACCAGAAGAGGATCTGCCCCATTGTCTCCAAGGTTACTGGCTAAACACAATGAGAATTAAATGGGCATGAGCTATTGTCTATGAGAGTTAATGTGATAATGCAAATCTTTTCTAGTTAGCTTGATTCTCTGTACTTATATCAGCAATACATGTATGGAGGGCCCAACCCCGAAACCTTTGCTCACATGGATAATCTAGAGTTTGTGGAGAATTTTCCATCAAAACTGTTTTCAATGGAAAATTGGAATTTTGAACTAAACAAAAGTTTTCTATGGAAAGTGTCTACTTTCTGCAGAAAATTTCAACTTTTGGACAACCCCCATCTCAAAAATCTGAAAACCAAAATATTTTTGGTTTTCTGACCAGCTGTATTATAGCCCCATTGATTCACTCTGACTGGTTGTATCAGTAAGGGCTAACGGCCAGATCCTGGAGCCCTTACTCAATCGTTATTCAGGGAAAGCTCTTGTTAGAGATTGCAAGAGTACTGGTTAAAAACTGAGAACCAGATCTTTATCTGGAGTAACTAGGTATAGATCCAATGATGTTAATGGAATTACACCACTTTAATCCAAGTAAAGATCTGGCTCTGAGTGAGGGCAATGGACTTTGTCTTGAAGTGTGTGAATAAGGTTTATAGGATTGGGCAAATAGGGCTTCATTTTCAGAGGTCCGGTGCACCTGTAGCTGTCATTGACTTCACTTGGTACTGTGGGTACTTAGCACCTCTGAAAATAATGTGCCTGTGGTATAAGTACATCATTTTAGGTATTCAGAATAGGTTATTTTACTTTTTAAAGCTTTAATTTCCGTTCTCAACTATTAAAAATATATCACCTACTTTACAATTAAAAATAAAATAATTGAAGTGGAGGCCAAAGATTGGCTGAGTAAGGAGAGGAAGGCTTATCTTCTTATGTTGTTGGCAGTGTTGTAGTTGTGTTGATTCCTAACTATGAGAGAGACAAGATGGGTGAGGTAATATCTTTTACTGAGCCAAGTTGGTTGGTGAAAGAGACAAACTTTCAAATTACACAGCTTGTCACTTTCGCCAACAGAACTTGGTGCAATAAAAGATATTACCTCACCCACCTTGTCTCTATCTTCTTACAACAGTTGTCTCTCCAGAACAGAACAGAAGAGCATTGGCAAGGCGATGTAGGGTTGTTAACATTGCAAATGCTTGTGCTGTTCCTGTAATGGGCATGAGTGTGCACCATTGAAGGCAATAAGAGTTTTGCCATTTACTTCAGTAGGGGCCAGAGTGGGGTTTATCTGAATAAACAGATGAGTTCAACCTACAAGGGTGACACAATAGCTCCTGTCCCATTAAAGAAAAGAAAGAAAATTGCCTATTTGTGTTTGATTTCATAATTAGATTTTCTTTTAGACTAACCATAGCCTGTGAAAAGTAGTTAACATTCATTATGGGGAATTAGGAGAATATTTCATTTTGTCAGAAACAAAAAAAGCACCTTCCCCTTAAAAATATGTAGGCAGCCATTCTCAGTGAAATCCTCTGTTAGGAAAAGTAACTGGAATGTGTTTATGTAGCTTTTATTGATCTTCTTCTGTCATAAACTTTATAATGTATTGAGTCCATTATTTAATTTTATATATAATCTGCCTTAAAAGCTAAAGCTGTAAATAATAACATCCATTAAAATAGTGGAGTTCATTAGTTGAATGGATAAATCAATGACTGATTCTTACTTACCTTGTAAATACCATTCACTTAAACTTGGAAAGGACAATTGGTTTTAACTGAACAATAGCTTTATTGCCAACAGCTTGATATAATTTTTTCTGTTGTAATTAGCTATACTTATATTCAAAGGTCTTTTATTTAAAATAAGATGCAATTATAAAACCAAGAAAAGCAACTGAATGCCTTTGCTAACTTGTGGTACTCACTATTACAGAGCTGCAGGAAACCAAGACCTCTGAATATTACCGTATATCCCACCACCCACTCGATTACAGGATATTATTAATGGATGAAGATCAGGACCGGATCTATGTGGGCAGCAAAGATCACATTTTGTCTTTGAATATTAATAATATAAGCCAGGACCCTCTGAGTGTAAGTTTAAAAGTACTTCCAGAACCCAATATTATTTTACTGCATGCCTTTTTTTTTTAAGGAAAAAAAATGTGCGTTTCATTAGACCAGCAGTAGGCAGAAGTCCAGATCCACACCTCATTGAACAGTTAGTACTTGTTTGATGTGTAATATGAGATGAGCAAAACTTTCAAATGACTTAAAACACTTCATTCAACCTGTTTACTTGTTTTTGAGTCATCTGCGTGGTGGCTCAGTCTCACAAGGAACACCTTGTATGAGGTGACTGATGTAAAATTTCCTCTCGTCTCAAAGATTTGAGAGTATTCAAAGCTGCAGCTTTAAAAGAACCCTGTAAGCAACATGAGGATATTTTTTGTAACTGTCTCCTTTTTCAGGCTATGTGAGGAAAAAGACAAAGCTGTCTTTAATCTTAGACTAGGTTTGTTTTATTTTCCTACGATAAAGAAAATCCCGTAGCTGAAGCCTGTCCTCTGAACTTTTTTGCTTCTGTTTTATAATACCTCCCATTTTTGTATGGTAGGGGAGTGATCCATTCCTAGTTTCAGAGACATAACACTAATCCTGCCTCCGTTGCAGTCCCTCTCCATGCTGTCCTCTCCTTTCAGTTATTGTAACACTGTTTGCTCTGGCCACCTCATGCATCTGCTCTCTATATTCCAGCATGTGCAAAGTGTTCATGCCTTCTCCCTCAGCTGTATGGAAAATACAGTGACATCATTCCAGTATTTGGAAGCCTCCAAAGGCTTCTGTTTTACTTCCAGAACCTGTTCAAATTCAGATTTCTGTAAAATATACTTAATAGATCTTGTCGCTCTGATAAAGAACATGTATCTTGTCTCCCTGATAAAGAACACATTTAACAATGTGGTCTTCAGTCTGGCAGAGAAAGGTATAACATAATCCAATGGCTGGAAGTTGAAGCTAGATAAATTCAGACTGGAAAGAAGGTGTGAATTTTTAACAGTAAGAGTTGGCATCACAGACCATTTTAAAATCAAGATTGGATGGGTTTTTTTTTAAAAAAAGCTCTGCTCTGGGAATAATTTTAGGGAAGTTCTGTGGCCTGTGCTATACAGGAGGTCAGACTAGATGATCACAGTGGTCCATCTGGCTTTGGAATCTATGAATCTCATCTGGTCCTTTAGTCCAGCATCCATCTTTTTTGCTGTACCGCCACATAATTTATAATCTCCATTGGTACTAAAGGCTTGTACTATCTCGAACAACCTGACTGTACCTCTCTGCCACACTGATTAAACCCCACTGCAAAACTCATGTGAAAACCTGTTTTCTTTCTTTCTTTTTCTGTGTATGTCAGTCTTCTCTCAAACTTCTATTATTTATTCTATGAAGTGTTTGGGTGGATGTGTAGCTAGCTAGCTAGATAGATAGATGATATGCGTGCATGTATGCATGCAAGCAGTATGCTTTACAAAATAATGTTGCAATACACTGTAATAGTAAAATGTAAACCAGAGTCAGGGTCTCCTTACATATACCCATATATAGCAAAACAAAAATAAAAGCAACCAAACAAAAGCAAAAAATATCCCCATACAGTTCTGACAGATCACATGACTAGCCAATATTAGGCTGCTCCAAACTGGAATCCATCCAATATCTGCAGGATTGCTACTTAATCTTTCTTTATAGTGCCTGCATTTTACTCCTCTTCTGTCCCTGAGAGATCCTGTTCAACATGATCTCTTTTATGTTGCGATTCATTTGCTTAAATATCACTAAAACATCTATTGAAATAATAATATTTTTAATATAGGAAAGATGCACAGAAATGAACCATCAGCTAAATACATTTAGACTCAAATCTGTTATCACAATGCTCTTTTTATTGTTCTGATATTGCCAGTGGTATCTTGAGACAGAATTGTGATTTACTTTTCCTTATCAGGCTAACCCACCTATGAAGAGTATGGAGAGTGTTTCTCTAATGCTGCCTTTTCTGTTTCAAGATCAGAGTTGATGATGGATGAACTTTAAAAAAAATCAGAGTTTGAGTATGGTTTGGATAAGCATTCAGAGCTTGAGGTGCTTATCTGAAAGTTATCTATACCTCTAGAGTCTGCTAAATTTGGCTGGAAATTTTAAGAGAACACATTTTCTCATGAGACATCCAGCACTTCTGCTTCTGATTCCAAAAAAGAAACACTGTAATAACAGCCTTTCTTGCTATATTTCAGCACTTCTGATTCCAGTCATGGACCATCCCTGGAAGTAGCATAAAGATATGCAAAAGTTTTTATTAATAAAAAATGTATCCTGTATTCAAACATTTCAGAACCTCAGAAAAGTTTTAGTCCTAAAGTTCTTTTGTTCAGTTGTACAGAACAGCAAAAGTTCAAAGGGGTTTGTAGTTTGTCCAGGTTGGTTAACTAATCCTTAAATGGAGTAGCAAACTTTAGGCCAGATATTCAGCTAGTATAAATCAGCTTGTCTCCATGGATTTCAGGGAGCTACACTAATTTATTACATTTGAGGATCTGGCCCATTATTTTCAGTGCTGCACCCTAAAATGCAAAGCGCTCATTTACCATTGTGTTTATGTAAAAATAAACTTTTATAAAAGAATAAAAGCAACAGTCTTTCAGGGCCCATGTTGTAAACTGATGCATGCCTAATCCAGACTTGTGGGGAAAAGTAAAACTCTCTTTACTGTTTAAATGGATTTCTGTCAGAAAAATATGTGGAGGAAATATTTTTCCCTAGCAGAAAAGGTATGAAATCTGTAAAAATATTGACTTTGTGAACTCAGAAATACCTTGAAGGAAACCTGTTAGCATAAACTAGGTGGGGTGACGAATGTTGTATATATTCAACTAAAATTATGTAGTTCCTTAAATTATTATTTCTTTCCAAATAGATTTTCTGGCCAGCATCAGCAATCAAAGTTGAAGAGTGCAAAATGGCTGGCAAAGATCCTACAGTAAGTTTTATACACACACACACAATTAAATATTTGGCCATTGAGTCACTGCACCTTGAGTGCAGCTGAAAGCAAGATGTAAGGGGTGTGGGCTTTTCTTTTTTAATACTCTCCAGGCCAAACGGTAAAGTGAAATTCTGGAAAATGAGAATATTTACACAGTATATGTCTTCATATTTTGTCTGGAAAAAAATATGTACATTGCTCACTTTCACAACTGGATTTATGATTTTTGTTTTGTTTTGTTTTTTGTTAGTTATGGATAGCATTAATAATGCTTGTTCCAAGTATCTCCTGGAGACAATATTGTAGACTGCTGAGCTAATGATAATGTCAGTGCCTGGACTAGCTCCCAGACAATATATAGTCTTTTCTATGGAAAGAATCTTTGCGAATGGGCAGTGGTTATTCTGCACATTCCAACAGCACACAGTGTTGGTCATAAAAAACCCCACTTTTATTAGTTCTCTAAAACAATGTTTTAGGCAAATATCTGAGAAATAGTAGTGCTTCCTTAAAACATGTAAATTTGACACACATGATAACTATACATGGGAAATGAAAACCAAAGATATGCTGTGTTAAACAGTTATACACTGAAGCCACAATCTTGTAGGTGGGTCTGTGCAGATCCTGATTTCAGTGTGAAGCTGTGTGTGGGTGTAGGTCTTGACCTGCATTCCTCTCATTGCAGGATCAGATACTAAGGCCTGTATACATTTGCTTGTTTCACACACAGATAGAAAATTGGTGTGGTCAAACAAATAGAAACATTTGCTGTTCTCCCCAATTTTAACCAATGGGGAGATGCCACACCCCTTATTGAAATTATCTCAGTCTTCACTTACATCATCGCCTCAGACACAACTATTTTTCCATATAAGAGTTTAAGCACCAGAGTTACTAATGTGACACAAAGAAATTGTTCTTCCCCAGCACCAATCTTCAGGAGGCACTTGGTTGAATTCCGTTTTTATTGATGTTCTGATCCAGAGCTCAGCAAAGTCAAGAGGAGACTTTCCATTACTTTTAATGGGCTTTGGATCATGCTTTCGTGCTGGTTTAAATACAGGATCACACCACTGATGTTCAGTAAAGTGGTCCTGGAGGTGGAGGTGCTGATTGGCGGGGCCG